CCTCCTGAACTGAAGGGCCAGAGCTGAGCACAGGACTCAAGGTGTGGCCTCACCAGCTTCCTTTTTCTTTCCCCATTGGGATAGGGCAGAACTACTGTCTAAGTTAAGCATTGCTGAAATTTTAGATTCAGAAATGACAGCAGATAATGGGGGGGAAGGTGACAGGGACATCTTAGACTGAAATTAGCTGTATCTTAGGAAGAAATGAGAGGTTTCTCCTTGCTCACTCCTTCCATGCCCACAGCCTTCTCCAGATGCTCTAGGACAAAATAAAGTGGCTTACCACAGCAACTGCCTGGGACTGCAGGAGCTCTGTTGAGGTCATTACGGTGAAATAGGAAATGTTTATCAGAACGTAACAAACTGTAACCAAGGGGATCCCAATAATTATAGAGAGCGGTAGGTTTCTAAAGAATGCAAAAGGGAGACTCCGTCAGCACTGCTGCATCACTGGAGAGCTGACACAGCCAACTGTGGCTCTTATTTCTCCCCATATGCTCTTTAGGTGTAGTTACTTTTTTGTGTTACTCTAGAGCTATGGAAATCAGGATTATAAGAAAGGAAAAACACAATTTTATGCAAACATACACTGATTAGCTCTGTCTGTTAGTGCTCAAACCTTGAGCAAACATTGCTCTTCAAACCAAACCAAAATATGCACTTGCTTGTACAAGAATATCAAGGGTCTGATTTTTGTCAATAGAAACTGCTTTCCTACATAGTTTTACCTGTAAGGATTTTTTAGTTCCTCTGTGATGTAATTTAGTTGATTCCTGGAAGGAAAAACATTCACTCAGTGGTTTAGAACTTCAGTGTTTAGATGCTGCTCTACTATGGAGTCAGGTGCTAGTTCTTGTGTTATTGGGTTTTACCTTTCCAGTTTCAAAAAGGGAAAAAAAGGTCTAACCAATCTTTCTAAAGGTCAAACTGCAGGACAAAGCCCATTTGAGCTTCTTATCCCCAAGTCAGCCTCTTGGGTCACCATCCTTCCCTCCATTCTTTCTCCTCACAATTTTACAAGTGTCTCTGAGGTTTTGAAGTCTTGGATAAAATATCCCAGAACAATGAAACAAAAACTTTTAACTGGGACTTGCTTTGCTGTAAGCCAAGATGTATACCCTTGTCACCTCCCAAAATACAGACCTGCACGCAGACCGCTGCGGGTCAGGCATCGATGGCTTTGTGCCAGCAGAGCCCAGGCCACTGACATTCCCTAAGGAAAAATCTGCTAGCTGAACCTTGTGATTCCTGACAGTGTTCTCCTGGACTAGTCAAACACCATTACATATGCCACAAGAAA